TGGAATACCAAAACCGAGACAGCCTGATGACATGGTCATGGGGCCCTTTGCTCAGCCAAAAGGAGAGCTTAGCAGCCCACCTGCTCCTGGTTGCCTTTCCAAAGAACTGCTCTGTGCCCACAACTTGGGGGCCTCTTCATGACTGGATTGCCTGGAGCTTTGCAGCCTTGATAAAAGGCACGCACCCTTCCCAAGATCCATATGGGAATGGCCTGCCACCTTCACTGGCAGAGCTGGCTGGCCTGCCCTTGACACCAGGCAACCACAGAGCTTGCATCTACAGCATACAGGGTGACCAAGAATTCTTCTCAAACATCTTGAAGATGCCACACTGGCAAAACAAATTCCCCTGTGCAGAATGCGATGCCCAAAAGCTGCATTCAAGGGCATTAAGTGTCCTGATGGGAAGAGTGTCAAGCTTCTCAGGCAAGCTGATCAAAAGTTTGTATATGTCTCCCCTGAGCAAGCCCTCCTTGTTAAAAGGAGTGCCCATCCACTTTTTCAGGTGCCAGGCATCAGCGCAGCCATGGTGCGAGGAGACTCCCTCCACATCCTGTACTCCAGAGGAGTTGCTTCACACCTTGCAGGCTCTTTGATCCATTACTTGTGCTACTTTGATGGTGTGAAAGCAAGGCAGGCAGTGCCACCCAGCCAAAGGCTCCAAAAGCTGTTTGGCAGAATTAAGGAGCTCTATGTCCAAAATCAGGTCTCCTCCAGGTTGACCAACCTTCGCCTCTCCATGACTTGCCCTGATGCTGCCAAGCCTCACAAAAGCTTTGCGTGCCTTGAGGCAAAGGCTGCTGAGACTAAGCACCTGCTGCCCTGTCTGTTGCAGGTGTTGCGAGAAGCTCTGCCAGAAGATGACCCCATTCATCAAGCCATGCTGGCCTGCCTAGAAGCATTGATTCAGATTGCTGATCTGTATGATGCAATTGGGCTTTTTCCTACTTCTGAGGAGTTCTTGCAAGCCGCCAACCTTGCCAAAAGGTTCTTCAGCAACTACCATGATCTGAACCAGTGGGCCTTGCTAAAAGGCAGAAAGCTCTTTCACATCACTCACAAATTCCATTCCTTTCATCATCTCATCCTGAATTCAAAATAATTTGAATTATAGAATCCATTCCAATTACAGAGCAGAGCACTTTGTGGGCAGAATGAGTGTGTTGACACATTCCACTGCCTTTGGGGTAAAATCCTCCAAGCTCAGCTCCAAGCTTGCAGTGAAATATAAATTTCTTCTTCACCTGCAACTCAGCAGGCCAGGTTTTGGCCAAGAGGGACAAGCCAGCTGACTATTGACTGCACAAGCTTCTGCTATAGAGGGTGCCCTTGCTAAAAGGGTGGCAGGCTGCTCTCCTTGTCCTGCTGCTGCAGGAAATGCCCTTGCTAAAAGGGTGGCAGGCCCCCATCCCTTTCCTGCTGCTACAGGAATGCCCTTGCTGAAAGGGTGACAAGAAAGCACCTTCTCCTGCTTCTGTAGGCATGCCCTTGCTGAAAGGGGGACAAGCTCCTACACTGCCATTGTGGAAAAAAGGGGTGTGCCGCATTGCAAACCTTATTGATATTTGCTTTTGATTTACCATGTAAAAATGAGGACACGTTTAATTGATTTGTTTCGCAATCTTGCTTTTGATTTTGGTCGCCTAGAACCACATGTTTCTTATTGAAAAAAAGGGCATATCAATAGAACAAGAAACCTATTGATTTAAATCAATAGCCGATGCCCAGGGTGATTCCCTTTTTACTGACGCTGGAGAGGCCCGCTCATTTGCCCTCGCCGGTGAGGGCAAATGAGCGGGATGTGCCACGGGCCGAAATTAGCCCCCCGGAGAGGCCCTCATTTGCCGTTACCTGTGAGGGCAAATGAGCGGAGGCTAAATGAGCGCCGTTTGTCAGTTTTTACTATGCCTCGGGCAGAAATCAGCTCTCCGGAGAGGCCCGCTCATTGGCCCTCAATGGTGTCGGGCAGAAATCAGTGGGTGAGGGCAAATGAGCTTGTTCCCTTTAGACCGCCCTTTTTACCGTGCCTCGGGCAGAAAACCAGCACTTCGAAGAGGCCTGCTCATTGCCCTGACCAGAGCGGGGTCCGTTTGTTCCCCTTTTAGGCAGAAATCAGCACGCTCATTTGCCCTCACTGGTGAGGGCAAATGAGCGGGGCAGTGCCTTGGGCAGAAATCAGCACCCGCTCATTTGCCCTCATTGGTGAGGGCAAATGAGCGGGGTCCGTTCGTTCCCTTTTTTACCGTGCCACGGGCAGAAATCAGCACCCCAGAGAGGCCCGCTCATTTGCCTTCACCGGTGAGGGCAAATGAGCAGGGTCCGTTTGTTCAGTGTTTACCGTGCCTCGGGCAGAAATCAGCTCCCCGGGGAGGCCCGCTCATTTGCTGTTTGTTCCCGTTTTTACCGTGCGACGGGCAGAAATCAGCACCCACCGGTGAGGGCAAATGAGCGGGGTCCGTTTGTTCAGTAGTGAGTCCGTTTGTTGCTTTACCGTGCCTGCAGCTCCCGGAGAGGCCCGCTCATTTTCCTTCACCGGCAAGGGCAAATGAGCGGGGTCCGTTTGTTCCCTTTTCAGCTGCCCTCAATGGTGAGGGCAAATGAGCGGGGTCCGTTTGTCCCCTGTTTTTTATCGTGCCACAGGCAGAAATCAGCCCGCTCATTTGCCCTCAATGGGTCCCTTTGTTCAGCTTTTACCGCGCCTTCGGCAGAAATCAGCACGCCGGAGAGGCCCGCTCATTTGCCCTCACTGGTGAGGGCAAATGAGCGGGGTCCGTGTGTTCCCTTTTTACCGTGCCTCGGGCAGAAATGAGTGGGGTCCGTTTGTTCCCAGAAATCAGCACGCCGGAGAGGCCCGCTCATTTGCCCTCACCGGTGAGGGCAAATGAGCGGGGCCCGGTTGTTCCTTTTTTTATCGTGTCACGGGCAGAAATTAGCACCCCGAAAAGGCCCGCTCATTTGCCGTCACTAGTGAGGGCAAATGAGCGGGGTCCGTTCGTTCCCATTTTTACCGTGCCACGGGCAGAAATCAGCACCCCGGACAGGCCCGCTCATTTGCCTTCAACGGCGTCCGTTTGTACAGATCAGGCTGGACAGATCGGATGGGCCGTGTAGGTCGGACAGGACGGACCCGTCAGACGGCCGGACCTGAGCACGGACTGGTCGGACAGCTCAAACTCGTCGGATGCCTCAGACTTTGTTTGAGCGTCAATTTGGCGAGCAGGCTCGGACAGCTCGGAACTGACCGGACGTCTCGGACGGCCGAACGGCGCGGATGGCGCGGATTGGTCGGATCAGGCTGATCGGACAGCTCGGACGGATCGGGCTGCTCGGACTTGGACGCCTCGGACACGGACGCCTCGGGTCGGACAGCTCGGACGGATCGGACTGGTCGGACAGCTCGGATTTGAATGGTTTGGACACCTCGGACGACGGCGGACTGTTCGGACAGCTCCGGCCTCGGACAGATTGAGCTGAACGGACTGGTCGGGCCCGCGAAGCACGGACTGGTCGGACTGGTCGGGCATCTCGGACTGAACGGACTACGGCTGGGCCCGCGTGGGACGTGACTGGTCCGACAGTGAACGGACGGACTGCTAGCTCGGACTGGTTGGACAGATCGTCGAACGGCTATAGGCCCCCGTATCAGACGCCTCGGACTTTGCTTGAGCGTTCAGTTGGAGAGCCTGGCTTTGCCTTGGAAAACCTTGAGCGTCTATTTGGCGAGCTTCCCTTTCTAAGGATTGACTTTTGAAAGCAGCCTCCTTTTCCAAATGGACCTCAAGTGTCCATGTTACGGGGGGGGGACCCGCCTACCTACCTCTCCTGGGAAGCAACACTTTGCGGCCTGAACGGACACTTCTGCTACCTTCCCTCCTACGCGTTAACCCACCTACCCACCCACCCACCCACCCACCTCCTATCTACATGACTACACATGCATACTGCATACCCGAATGCATGCATACTTTCATGCCCACGCGCACGTCCGTACAGGCATACGTGCTTGCGTGCTTTCGAGTTTACATCCGTCCATCCGTCCATATACCTGCCAGACGGCCGACCTGCCGACCGACCGACATACATACATGCGCACATGCATACATACATACATACATACATGCATGCATGCATGCATACATACATGCATGCACAGATACATGCATACATGCTTTGCATCAAATTACAGTGCGATACACTACATTAACATTACATGACATTACATTGCAGAAACTACACCACACTATGCTACGCAACCCTACACAACACTGCACGACCCTATGCTACGCTACAAAGCACTACACTACACTACGCTACCCTACATAACACACACACACATGACATACATATATGTGACATGCATAACATGCAGGAAACACCAAAGCAGGCCGGACCATATCATACCATACCATACTATTCCGTTCCATTCCATTCCATCCAATTCCATTCCATTTCATTGAATTCCATTCCATACGTATGTAAGTATGTACATACGTACATACATGCGTACGTACATACGTACTACTTTGCATCAAATTACATTACGATACAATACATTAGCATTACATCACATTATATTGCACAAACTTTACTACACTACGCTACGCCACCCTACACTACAAAACGCAACACTACACTACGCTGCCCTACATAACATACATGACACACATACATGACATGCATAACATACAGAACACACCAAAGCAAGCCATGCCATACCATACCATTCCATACCATACCATACCATCCATTGCATTCCATTCCGTTCCGTTCCGTTCCTTTCCATTCCATTCCATTCCATTCCATTCCATTCCATTCCATTCCATTCCATACATATGTACATATGTACATATGTACATATGTTCATACGTGGCATACTTTACATACGTACATACATACATGCATGCATGCATGCATGCATGCATGCATGCATGCATACGTACATGCATGCATGCATACGTACACACACACACCCAGACACACAAGCGATCGCCCGTTTGCAGGCCGCATTCAGCAACAGCTGCTGCTGGCTATGCGCAGTCCGCCGTGGCAGCAGTTGGTGCAGCAGATCCGCAGCAAGACGCAGCTGCCAGAGGCCGGCGTGCTGTGACCCCAACTTGTTTGGGGTTGAGGGCGACAGGCTGATCAGGTGTTGAGCGAACTTGGAAGTTTCAGTCATTCCCACATGCTGAATGACGGTCAAGAACATGCATGCTGTCGGCCGTTTAGTGTGTACTAGTCTCTGCATCGACAAATCCGACGCTTCACAATGGCTATCCCAATTTGCACGCAACACGTGCCCCTCTGCGTTGCGGACATCCATCAAGTTGCCATTGTACAGCCACAGTTTGTTGTGGCCATGATGCCAGCAGGCTCAGTGCCCGTCATCGCCTCACAGGTCCCACAAATGCCACAAATACCACAAGTTCCTCAGACTTCGCAGTTCATAGAGATGCCACAAAGGCCACATGCCTCGCCAGTTCCACAAGCTGCACAGGTTGCAAAGGCTCTACAGAATGCCATAACACTGGCCTCTACTCCTGAGCAAAGCAAACCGAACTGGCATGACAGAACCGGCCAGCCTGAAGCGGATTTGCCTGTGAAAGCGGTCGGCTTGCAGAGCAAACGAGGGAAGTCTTCACTGGCCTTGCCTGTGGCTGCTGGCCGCGTGCCCCAGCTGGACAGCGAGGGCATCGAGAGGCTGCAGGAGCAGCTCAAGGGAAAGCCCAAGGAGGTCTTGGCTGCGCTGCAGTCATTGCAGGGCCGAGTTTGGGACCTTTCCTGCCGCCCGCACGGCTGTCGCCTCATCCAGCTCGCCCTCGAGCAAGCCAACCAAACGATGGCGGCTTACCTGGCCGCAGAGTTGCATGGCTGTGTTTTGGACGCGATGTTGTCGCCCCACGCCAACTACGTTGTGCAGAAGCTTGTGACGCAGCTCACCTGGAGCGCTTGCAGCTTCGTGGCCGAAGAGCTGCGTGGCACGGCATCCAAACTCTCGCGGCATCGCTTTGGCTGCCGTATCTTTTGTCGGTTGCTGGAGTTCCACGGCAAGCATCACAGCGTCCAGCTGCTAGTGGAAGAGGTGTTGAATGAAGCAGAGGACCTTTGTTGCCATCCCTTTGGGCATCATGTGGCCCAGTCCGTCTTGGAGCATGGCACAGCAGAGCACCGTGACGTCGTGGCAGCGACAATCGAGTCCAACCCCCTGGGGTTTGCAAAGAACCAAAATGCAAGCTACCTGGTGGAGAGAGTGCTGTCATCCTGTTCGGATTGGCATCAGGACAACCTTCTCTGCACGCTCTTCTCCTCCTTGGCAGATTTGGCTCTTTCTCGGTATGGCTGCTACGTGGCCAGGGCAGTTGTGGAGCACCCCAAGACAGACCGACCCGCGGCAATGGCCAAGATTTGTGGATGCCAGAAGGAGCTGAGCAAAACAAAGCATGGGCAGCACCTCATGTTGGGCTTGGGTTTTGATCGCACGTGCTTTCACACCAGGAAGCGTGGGGCTTGAGAGCAGACAAGTACCTTGGAAATTCCCGTATTTGCTTCTGTGCAAATCGGGTCACATGCATCATCAGCGTCTTGCTGAGACACGTTCAGTGTCTGTTGTAGAGTGGCTGTGAACGGTCTTCCCCGGCATGTTTAGTTCCTATACAGCTGGGAACAATGTCGGATCAAAATGATTTGAACACCAGGCGCATCTTTCAAATTCGTTGCTCTTAGCCGTGCGGCTGAGCAACAATCAGCAAGCTTTTGGCCGAGGGATGGAAGGTGCATCTGAATCGGTGCCCAGGATCTTCTGTTGCTCCATTCTCTCGCGACTTGTACAGACCAGAAGGGGTCACCTTCAATACCACACTGGCCCCGAAGGAACAAACTTGCCGCTCATTCCTGAGTCACGCTATTGGCCCACAAACACTCTGAATGGTGCCACTACAACTACTAGGATGCTACAAAGCAAAATCGTTCATGGCAGTTCGGGTGTCCCACCCAGGCTTGATACTGAAGATACATTTTTAAGGAAGTCTTAAACCTAGCCCAAATCGCCAAGATGTAATTTCGTCGACGCTGAGTCGATTGCAACGTAGACGCACTGCGCAAGAGCTCAGGGCTTATCACCGGTGGTGCAGACGATGTTCGACTACCACAGCGACCTTGGCTTTCACCGGTCCTTTGGAGCCAAGGACCGACTCTGCACTTGCATTTTCACACTTTGTAGGCGTAATGGCCATGACAGTCTGGATCCAACTGACTTGAGAATGATTCTGATTCAGAATCTTGGTTGCTTAGTCGGCCCTTGGTTGCAGGTGCTTGTACAGGTGTGTCTGCATGACTCCCCCATGCGAAGAGCCTCTCCTTGTGAGATGTCCCATTCAGAGTTGGAAGGAAGCCTCCGTAGCGCCGGGCGTGGTCTCGAAGCCGTGGAGTCTGGGGAAAAATGCGCCAGCACAAGAAGCCAAGCTCCTTGGAGTCAGACAGATTTGGTTTTCGATTCAAATTCGGCTGATTTGACTTGCCTGATTCTGACAGCGGGCTGCACCTCTTCATGACATGCGCAGGTGTGCGCTGACCTTGTCAATTGCATTTGCTTTTGCAGTTTTGGGGAAGCGAGCCTTTGCAGCTGTGGACGGGGGGCTGAGGTTTGAGCTCACTCTGGATGTCTTCCCAGTGACTGATGAACATGGGGAGGCTGGCTACAGAGGCCGGAGCAGATCCAGACCAGGTCGCATTTATCGTCGGTGTTGTAGAAGAAAAAGTGTGAAGGCCCCAATGGATGATTTCCGCTGGTTTGAGCTGCCATGCTCCTCCATTCCTTGAGCACCTGGTGGACTCGCTGCAATTTGAGTCCTTCAGTTCGAGATTTGCTTTCGCCAAGGACTGTGGCATTTCCGGTCCCTGGAGATCTCGTTTGTACGGCTATTGGCCGCCCACTGGGCCCGCTTGCTGCGGCTGGCTTCACCGGCCCCTTGCCGGCCCTTGCAGCCACTGGGGTTGGAGAGGCACGGCATGCATTGTACGCATTGAGCTGTTGCCTTGTTTTAAACATGCTAGTACTACATCTAAAATTAATAACAATAATCAAAATTGGAATAATCTATATAACAACTTATATAAAGATGACAATAATATGACTAAATTTATTAATGAACAATATAATAATGAATGGTCATTTGCATTTATCAATGACATTAATCATTTACATATGAATTGGAGATTAAGAAATGACAAAGAAGCTATTGTAATATCATATTTAATTCCACGTACGACTTGAGACTTAGCTAGGCAGTCAGCTAGGCTTCCAGCTCGCAGGTCGGTGCTGCACGACTGGTGCACCTCCGTATCGCCTGCGCTGCCGGAGGTTTGTCTGCAGCAGCTGATTTGGCAGCAAGCGCAGAGGACGCCTTGCAGCACCGCGCTCCAGGCCCAAAGTCACTCTGGAGTGGTCTCACTTGATACATGCTAAGGAGTCTTGGGCCAAACCTTGGGATGCATCAACTTGTTCAGCTTAAAGAGCTTGGCTTTGTTTCTTGAGTTTGGCAGTGCGAGCCATATCCAGCATTGCAGAATGGCATTCCCCTCAGATCAATCAACTGTGCGCCGGGAAGCTGGTACATTGTGCATGCCAAGTTTGAAAGAAACATATCCGGAGAGCTCTATGCTGTCAAGGTTCCATTTGCCGCGTTCCAAGACATCCTAGCGGTCCGAACAGACTCTAACAACCTGATCACTGACGCGAGGTGTCTGGCCTTCGAGTCTCTTACCGCTCGCTCCTGTGTGCAGCCTGCCGCTGCAGCAAGGCACTGCGCAGATTTGGTGCTCGCCGCGTGGGCCTGATGCTGGAAAAGGCAGGGCCGCTCAATGCGAAGCAATCTCTGGGTGCCGTCCCTTGTGCCTAAGTGCGTTGACTTGCAGCGACCCATCCAAATTTGAGGGAAAGGATGTTGCGCGAATGCCGGCTCTTTTAGTGAGACAAATAAGACAAAGGTCAACAGGTCAGGAAATGCCCGGAGCTGAGGGTGCGCAGCTGTGCCCTGTGCTGCTGGGCATCCTTTTCGCAGAAGCCGCCTATGTGCCGCTGCCCTTGGCAGCTTGTCTCACAGTATTTGGTGTCGCTGTCACCTTTCCCAAGCTTGCAGTGCCAATCCGAGGCTGCGTAATCGGGCCGAATCGGTTTCAAGGAAACGACCATGGATTGGTATGAAGACCCACCAAGTAAATAGTTCCTGTGCGTATATCTAGGCAGGCCAGCAAGACGAAGCCATGATGCAGTGCTGCTGAATCCATTTCACCATATCAGGCCAATAAATAAGAACTGCCTTTGCGTTGCTTGCGCTTCAATGTGATGCATCATCACGTCCCATCCTCAAATCACTTGTGCTTGAACGTTTCCTTTGAATCCCAGCATGATGCAAATATATGTATATCTATTCATGTGAACACATACATGAATGTGAATGATGTATGCATCCATCATCGGATCGGAATGTTACGCTGCTCGAGGCAACATATTCCATTCTGATTGGGGATGATATTCTGTTACTAGGTTTTGACTGATGGATTGCCCGTCAGTCACTCTCTCCCTCTCACTCCCTCTCCGGTCTCTCTCCTTCTCTCACTCGCCCTCTCTCAGCTCGCTCAGCGTGTGTTCTTCAGCTCGCTCAGCTGCCTTCGCGCGTCGCATTGGCGCCTAGCGGGTGCCAGCGCCTCGCCCATCTTGCTTGGAGCAGAACCATTTGACCAGTCTAGCCCAGTTGGAGAGGTTGGCATTCAACGGGTGGGTCTTGGTGTGCAAGGTGGAAACCGAAGGCGGCGGGTGTCAGCTTGCCGGGGTGCCAGTTTAGGATAAGCTGTTGCAACCTTTGGGCAGCCGAGAAGTTGCAGCAAACGTGAAGGTCTGTTTTTGCACAGCCAGCCGTTGTGCGCCATGCGTTAACGCAATCATAGCCATTACACGCCATTACGCGTATGACACTCTTTACGCTTACACTTGACATTGGGCCTTCGGGTGGGAGATCCAGGACATCCCCCCGGAGCGGCTGCGGTTCATGCTGCAGGACGCAGCGGTGCAGCTGGTCGTTGCCAGCGCGCCAGTGGACTGCAGCTTGGTCCGAGAGATTTGGGAGAGGTGATGGGAAAATCGATGATGACTGTGGCTTGTGTTTTTTAGAGCAGACTTCTTGCAGGCTTTGGGCTGGTGGCTGTTTCCAGCTATGATATTCATAATGTGCAATGAATGATATATATATATATATATGATATGGGGAAGCACAGACATTTGAAGCGTCTGTCTCCCATGAGTCTGGGAGGTATCGGAGTTGTCTCAGGCACAGTCCCTGTGCTGATGCTGTCCAAGGAGCAGGCAGACAAGCAAGGGAAACGGATCCACTCTGGAAACCAACCTAGGGATGCCTTGGGACAGTCCATTGGGATGCCTGCCGACCCCAATGGAGAGTTGAGGTGACGCACCTATGGCATGCGTATGCCAGGTGTTTCAGGGCCCCCTCAGCCAGCAGGACATGGAGCTGGTTGCCGCATCCAGGCTTGGGCTATCAAAGACTGGGACCACCTGACATCTTTAAGACTCAGTTTCACGCTGTTTGGCAACATGCATTCGGGGAGGCGCATCTTGGCCTGGCAAGGCCGAATCTCTCGAATGAAGTCTACGTGCTTTACACCTCTGGTACAACAGGACGGCCCAAAGGACGGCGCTCGTGTCGTTGCCACAAGCCAGAGCTGCATTGCCTGAGGGCGGATGGGAACGCGGGGATAGAGTTTGTTAGAGTCAAAGATCGGCCGCGTTGGCTTTTGGCACGCTCCAGGAGTCTCGGTGTCGCACCGGGCAGTACTCAGCCACGTACTTTGTTGCTGCCAGAAGTTTGGGCTGCGGCCATATGACTGCGTACTGCAGTCGATTGTGCCGAGGCAGCACTTCTCGACTTTCCCTTTGGAACGGATGCAAACAGTTGTGCTGGGTCAGAGGAATCTACCATATTTTTCAATCTAGCAACGCCTATTCTGACAGCGAGACTTCCCGAGGGACGCTTGCTGAAGCATCTAAACCTAGGCATTGCCCTTTGACTTCGCTGTGAGCCAGTCTTCTCCTTAGTGCGTAGTTCGTCACAGTGTTCGGAAGCTTCAGCAAGGGGAGTTTGGTGCATTTGATCACAGAGAGAGAAAGAAAGAGAGAGAGAGAGAGAGAGAGGGAGAGAGCCAGGCTGTATCCCTACCTCATGATTGGCGGCTCCATGCTGATACCCGAAGAGGCCTTGTGCAAGGATCCCTTGGAACTGGCAGCCGCTGCTGCAAAGGCCCGGCTGAGTTGGTGAGCAAAGCAAAAACTTGACAAGGTTCTTGATCCAACACCCAGCCAGCGAGCGCATGCGCCACTGACCGCCTCGCTCCCTCACGGATCACTTGAATCTTCCATGTGTCAAAATGACTTGATGCCTTCCAACATTCTCAATTGTGAGGCCAATATCTCTAGCATCGACATGGTGCCGACATTCTTCTCCTTGCTGCTGGACACTATGTGATGGGTTTCGGCGCTAGTCTGAAAGGCAATTTGGGGTGCCTGGCAGAGAATCAATACGTATCCGCAATTTGACTCCAGGAGCATGGGCTTCCCCTGCCATCGCTGCGGCGAATCAACTTGGGCGGTGAGGCAGTTGCCAGCAGGCGAGAGCTGAGAGCTTTGCACTTCACTGAGGGACTCGTGCTGAGTGCTTGAAGGCGTGGTTTGCTACGGGTTCTGGGGCTCCAGGTTAGTGGAGAGGAGCTTGACGCGCTTCCCTGCCAAGCTCTTTGTGACCTACGGCCCAACAGAAGCTGCTGTGGACACGACTACCTGGGAGGCGGGGGCTTTGCACGTGGCGTGTACTTCAAATGCTCGAATGAACAGTAAAATCTTGTGCATCGATTCCTGAGATTGCCTGAATGGCAAGGCCGGACCCAGCAATGGGCACGTGGTGGGCGCGCCGGACACCTGGCGGATCCTGGACCTGTCGAGTGCATCCAGTGCATCCAGTGCATCCAGTGCATCCGTGCCTTCCTTCGCACCTCTGGGCCTCGCAGCAGAGCTGCGGGTCTCGGGCCCAGGCCTGGCCGCTGGATATTTGGCCGCCGGCACCTTCGGCACCTTCGGCACTCCTGGCGGCACCTTCCCGGCGGCACCCCGGGCAGCCGGGAAGCAGTACGCCACCGGGGATGCCATGCGCTGGACCGAGCAGGGCCTGGAGTTCTTGGGGCGCCTGGATGCCCAGGCGCGATGGGCATGATGTTGGCTGAGCTGTCATGTGCGAAAGTTTGCACTGTTTTTTGCACTGTTTGTGTTGAACCAACATGTCAATTGCCAGGTCAAAGTCCGGGGCCAGCGAGTCGAGCTCGAGGAGATTGAGTCTCTTCTCAAGAGCTCTCCAGGTGTCACGGAGGCCGCTGTTCTCTTGGCCTCTCGTGGTGACGAGCCCGTGCTTTTTGCTTTCCTATGCTCTTCCAAGGACGGCTCGGTTTCCTTGAGGGGCAAAGTGCAACAAGCCAGCCTTGCGTGAAACATATCAGCTGAGAACAACACTCTTTGGTGCTCATTGGCTTTGACCTCACCTTTGCGTTTTGGCATGCGCACCATCTGTCGTATTTGCCAGTTGCGCCCTATGTTGGCCCTATGTCACCCCGGAACCCCATAATATCAGTAGCATGCGCTCTGTGTGCTAGCTGCTAGGACCAAATGGACAAAATGGACATGGACAGGGCTCTGGTCGGCTTGGAGTGCCTGCCGCAGCATATGGTGCCGCAATTTTTCCAGCACGTGGAAGACTGGCCACGCAGTCCCACAGGGAAGCTGGACCGGCGACAGCTGCGGGAGCAGGCTGAAAAGCTGCTGGATCTGCAGGCGCATGAGGCAGAGCTTGAAGCACGTTTCAGCGAGCCACATTCGAGCAGGAGAAAAACCGACCCTATGGTTTCGCGACTGGATGCCCTTGGCACGAGCCGCATCATACTAGGATGGTTGTATTCGGATACTTCGAAATAAGGTTGACACGCTTGGTCGGTCTCCCCAATTCTGCAAACACAAATGCCCGCAGGTGGATGCTTCCTCCACCAACCTGTCTGAGTTCTCAGGATCGGCACGGTGCTTTCTAGATGTGCTGCAGAGGCTTTTGCACCGGGATTTGGGGCCGTCGGACCTGGCCCGCAGCTTCACGCGCCTGGGAGACTCGGTGTTGGCAATCCGGCTCTGCGCGAAGTTGCGGGAGGAAGGCCTCTCCTTGGCCGCGTCCTCGCTGCTGGGAGGGGCCACTCTGGCGGACCTCGCCAGGGCGTTGCCCCCGCTTCCCGACGCCGTGATTGGCATCGCTGGCCATCGCTTAAAGCACGCGGCCATCGAGGGAGCGGTGCCGCTTGCGCCCATGCAGCGCCGATTCTTCGAGCTCAAGCTGCGGCATCCGCAGCACTACAACCAGTCCGTGATGCTGGTGCCGCTGGTGTCAGTGCAGCTGGGGGCCTTGCAAAACTGCCTTGTGAAGCTGGCCGAGCACCATGACATGCTCCGAGCCAGCTGCTCCAGCTGTGTGGCAACGCGTTTTTTGGAAGGACGCGTGAGATGTTTGGCTCAACGAGCGAACACCAAAAGCACGGGAGCCGTTGAAATTTCCTTTGCTGATACTGAGGCTTCAACCCGGAACAACAGGTTTTGCCATGCTCCTCTGCTGCTGCAGCTGTGCATGTCCAAGAAGAGACATTGGAGCAGGGGCCACAGCCCGCACAGATGTCAACTTGGGCCGGGTTGTGGCAAGCATGTTCAAAGACAGCATACATGCTAATACATGCCAGAGGCTTTCCATCCTGGAGACCATATAGGAGGCGTCTTTTTACTGACAGATCTTCTCGGCAACTAGAAGCTGTCACAGCCTCAATAGGCGAGCCAGGGAGGCGTTGATTCATTGGTGATGGCCCAGAGCCCTTTTTGAACATGGTCAGAGTTTCATCAATGCCTTGCATGACCTTCTTTGTTGTGACCCGCTGTGTTTTTAAACAGAAATCATTTCTAGATGGGACACACAACACACTCTGTTGGTCAAGTAACGCATGTGATCAGCATTTTCAACTGGCCAGCTTTGTTGTAGACATAAAAGAAGCCTCGGGTTGGCAGACCTTAACACCATAGTGGTGAGGGTCGACAAAGGAGGACAATGCTCCGATGTTGCAGAACTAATCGCAGGCCTTGGTACGCTGGTTGCGCCTGCCCGCTTTGAGGCTCCAAGACCTCGAGTCCTGCTGCAAACGGCTCCAGCAGCTCCGGCTGGCTGGACCCCTGGTCCAGGCAACCTTGCTGCAGCTGAGGCCGGGATTGGCTCTTGGCTTCGGGTCATCCAGCTGACCTTGCGGCATCAGCCATCAGCCTTGCTCTGTGCCCAGGGGAGATGCTGAGGGCACTAGGCTCCTGCTGGTGATCCACCACTTGGTGGTGGATTTGATTTCCTGGCAGGTGATCTTGGAGGATTTGGAGTTGCTTGGATGCAGGTAGTTTCCACTTCTGCAGCAACCAGCCATTTTTGGTTGCCACCGGTAGCCTTGCTTTCGAGCAAGAAAGCTGAGGGAGTCGCGTCTGACAGTTTTGAAACTCCGTGTGAGGAAGCTGCTTTTGCACGAGCTTGGCCTGGCTGGAGAGCCACAGCTGTCAGCTGTGCCTTCTTCGTTCAAGGAGACGCTTGTTTGAAGAGAGCCTGAAGCATGTAAGCTGTATATAATCTCACACAAAGAGTGTCCATGCTTCGAGATCCTCAGGTATGCGCGGCAGAAGAAGGCTTCTGAGGTTGGCGCGGATTTTATGATGGGAGTTTGGCGACTTCGAGTTGAGCATTTCCCATGCATGCGGGGTTTATTTGGTTTCATACAACATTGTCAGGCAATCCTCATCAATTGAGGTTTGGACTGGAATCCCTGGTTCTTCAAAACACGGGAGAAACCACACCCTAACCTCCAAACCGCCAATCCAAATCGCACACAACGGAAGGCCCTCCATGTTTCGTTGCAACTCAGTGCATAGATGATTGCGGCTCGTTCGCGGTTCCTGTTGCCTGGTAGGTGCACGAGCCCAATTTGGACTGGGCGAAGATGCTGGCAAAGGAGTAGGGTGAGTGCTCTGTGCTGCCCACTCAGACATGGAGAGCAGAGCACAGGAATCGCCAAACGAAGAAATGCCAGAGTGAAAGGGCTAGGCTCTTGAACGAGTAAATGCTTGCGTGCAGAGGAGCCGCTGGGTGACAACAGCTGGGGTGCCGCGAAACGCCAGGCTGGGCGGCTGCCAATGGCCAACAGAATGCTAGGCAACCTGGAGATCTCAACAGTAGCTGGCGTTGGCGTTGTGCTGGGGCCGGGCACATCCGCCCTGAATCAAAGCAAATCAAATGACCAGATATACTTGAGCGCTTCACAGATTCAATCTTACAACATCATGGATAGTCTACTGTCTTTTCTTGGTTTGGGAGTGCATAGGGGTGCCCTCGATGCACCTCATTGTGCAGGTGCGGCATTTGCCCCCAATTGTGGCTGAGACACTCACGGCAGCACCACATGCGCGGCCGGTAGAGCTTCTTTTGGCTGCTCTGGTGCAGGTGCCGGGCCTCAGAAATGACCCGCAGAACATCCCCGTTTCTTCCCAAGCATAGCCAGGGTTAGAGGCAGCATTCGCGTCCATATAACAATTGACTGCAAGCACGAGGGGTGGCATTGAGTTCGATGTAAAAGGGTTAAACCAATGCAAAACAAGATCACCAACATGTCGGATAGCCAAGGGCAGCCAATAGCATTAGTCAATTCTATGCCTGACAGAGCCCAAAGAGCACATGCATGGCGTATTGAAATTATCATGGGGGCCACCGGGGAACAAACAAAAACAAGGACGAGCAACAGCGCCTCAGCTAGATCTGAAAGGAGGACCGCACGTGGTGGGTGTTTATTTGATAGGACACTTTGCAAGTCAAGGATACTCTAATGAAAAAGCATCGAGACTTCTTCCAACTGAGGCCTACGCCTCCTGTGGCTCGCTTGGGTCGCTGTGGGTGGACCTGGAAGGCCATGGCCGGGACGGGAACTTCGCGCAGACGGTGGGCTGGTTCACTGAGCTACAGGCCGTGCAGCTTCGCGCCGGTAAGCCGCCCGGCGCAGAGCTAACCTGTTTGGATCCGTGTGCGCGTGTCTCAGGGTGTGTTGTGTTCTTGAAGCTCCGGTAGACGAACCTTACAGCCGCAAACCCGCAGCCCAGAACCCACCCTAGCCCTCCATTTCAACTCTAAACCAACACTGCGTAGAAGCAGCCCACACCAACCTTCAATCAACAAACAAACGCGACCTTCAAATTTCAATGCTATTGCGAACTTGGACTGCCAAGGACACCGGGGGAGGCTCATTTCCAGCGTAGACCAACCCCTGCCGGGAAAGCCAAGAACTCTTTTCACTGTTTTCACCTTTTGTTGGGAGCCGAACCATTCGGAGTTCAAAAGTCCTTCCAACCATGGTGTGATTGGTGCGTATCAGTGCCTGTTGGGCTTAGCAGCTGGTCGAATGTAGGGAACCCAACTTTTAGCCGCGATTGCTGCAGGTCTTTGGATCAAGTCATCCGGGAGACGAAGGACAGGTGTTGCTTTGCCGAAGAGGCAGAGGTGCAGCCCATGATTTGCGTCAATTACCACGGCAAGGCCGAGATGCATGGGATGGACATAATGTAATGAGCGAATGTTTGGCTTCCTGAATTTGCACGGCCTGTTGCAGATTCCGTGAAGCTGTTAGATTGCATCTCCCAGAGGCCGGGCAGCTGGAAGGGGACCTACGACACTTCGCCTTGGCGCCAGAGTGGGAGCTCTTGGCGAAGCATGACATCCAACCTGAGAACCAGCGAGAGTACCTCCTGGAAGTGGAGGAGTGGGCGGGCGTAAAGAGGGATGGATGAGTTGTCTTCAACATGGGAGCCCGAAAGGAACTTTTTCAAAAAACGCCCGAAAGGACATATTCGGAGGGCAAACCAACTTTGCAGCTGGTGTTCCTCGCACTGCCAGGCCATGCTGGTCACAGGGAGCTGCGGGAGGTTGCAACTGCGTGTTGAGTGGATCTATCATCCTCAGCTGGATGAGTCGATGTGCGCGTGGCTAGAGGCGGGCTCTCACAACCACCCCAAATCACGGGAGCCCAGGAAAAAGGGACCTTTGCAATCCATTTGGGCAATGTTGCTGAGATGCAGTCCTTGGACGAATGAATCATACAAGTCTATATATCTCATATTGATAAAGTTCTTAGAGACAAACATATCGCATACCATGTCAATGTGCCTCCTGCGATCCATACATTACGTTCCCTCGTGTCTCCCATCCCGAGCCACTGAGATGGGGGGAACCTCTCGATGTCTTAAAAGAGGGGAGGGTTTCAGAGATGGTAAATTCCCTTTCCCAAGGTGGAAGCAGATACGTCACTTGCCCAAACCTACCAAGAGGTGCTTTCGGTAGGCCTACGCTCATGACTTTGCTTATGGTTTATCACCCAGTCTCTAGACCAGAGCGGCAGCAGATTCAGGAGAGACTCTATCAGAAGCGCTGTGGGCGCTGTCAGGAGTTCCTTCGGCAGACAGATTTGGTCGCGGAGCACTGCATGCGCACAGCCAGGCAGGGCGCATCACGAGACTTTGCCTGTTGGCTGAGCCTGTATCATGAGTTGAAGACCCCTTCGCGATCGGAGCTAGCAACTCTTGAAAGGACACTTGCTTTTGCCATCCTTAGGCGCGCATCGCTCGCAGACTTCCCCCTGCTCCGCGGCGCTGTGACTCTGTCGGCCTTTGATGACTGGCTGGCCAAGCTGGCAGAGCTCCTTGGCACTTGGCCCCGCCGCCCTCTGTGAATGGCTTTGTACTGGAGAGCCCAAGCTTGTTCTTGATAGCGACAATTTCCGCTCCAGTGCCAAGGCCAGATGATGTCGAGGACATTTACCCCTGCACCCCGTTGCAGGAGGGCATGATGGCAGAGACGCTTCTGGATCCACGCGCAAATGTAGAACAGCTCCTTGATGTCAATCGTTTGGAGGACGTTTCCATAGAGCGTGAGATGATGGACAATCAACTTCATTGGAGCAAGGGAAAGATGCGGGAGCTGGCCGATTCCAGAATGCACCGACAGAAAATCCGCAGCCGAATCTGACCTGTGAGGTCCGGACAGCCGCCGAGGCGAATACGTGTAGGTGTAAGTGTGCGGTGTATTGTACTTGTGTAGATGTAGAAGCTCTACAAGTGTACATGCGTGACGTATGCAATGTACATTGTTGCATTCATTCCTCATGTTGCTTGGACAGCTGCGGGAGCGCCCGAAGAGTAGGCAGAAGATTGTGATGGGTGTGTCCGCGGTTGATTCGCGCTTGTATAAAGCTCAGGACACCTCCGGCGGGCGAGGAACATTAGCATAAACAGAAAGCTGTTTCGAAGACACACGGACACGGATAAAAAAGCACAGATGTTCCGCAACAGCTCTTGGATCAAGTGACGTTGAGTTTATCTTGTGCCTTTGTAGTTCTCAGTCTTATGACCTACGGGCTTAGCATCACAATTTAGCCTGCTGGCTAGAGAAAGCAGGCTCGGATTGCAATTTAGCTCGTTTGAACTTGAAGGCTTGCCAAATTCGCCACATTGCCTAAGGCTGGCGCTCTTGCTCACCGGGGCGAAGGATGCCTGGAGAGATGCCTGGACCCGCGTGGTCGCCCGGCACCAGGCCCTGCGAGCGCGCCTGGTGCCGCCGCCACTGCTGGCAGGGCGGAGGTTCTGGCAGGCTGTGAGGGGAAATTCTGAGAGATGACTTGGAGTTGTGGGAAGGCAGCTTTATTGCAGTGCTCATTGACAGGCTTAGATCATTCGATTTAGTGGGACGAGCATTGAATCGTGCCAGAACAGTCCCAGAATTCAAACATCTTCACGCAGGGATTTGCTCCAGCATCCAATAGCTTTCTCAAGGTGATCTTCAAAGCTGGCACTGCACCGGCTACGCCAGAATGGCAGGACCGTGGGAACAGCTCAAGGCGCTTGCACAGTGGGCTTCAGCCACGGTGCCAGGAGGGAGTTTGGGACTTCGAAGCCGAGTCTTGAACCCAGGCCTGCCAGGCTTTGGAGAGGTGTCAGTCCAAGCCTTGCAGATTCCCATAACGAATCATTCTGGACTGTCAGCAAGGCTTGTCCTTGTTTCTGACCGCTCCTATGCGCTGCTATGAATTCTTTACAAGCTGAGGTCTTCAGCGCTTCCCCTCAGTCAGTCAGAGGCAGGCTCATGCCATGCCTGGTGTCATCAGTCAAGAGTGACGAGATTGAGCTTGGCGACAGCACAGTGAAGCATGCAAATGCAAAACACCCCAAACTCCGCTTGCTGCAGGAAGCCAAATTGATGAGTGCCCGGGCAGCAACTGTGCAGATTCTTTTGCTTTCTGAAATCCATCCTTACATTTTTTGCTTGTTGCATTGGGAGCGTGGGAGTGTGTGGAACCCAAGAGTGACCTCACCAGATTAGCCTCCGATCCTTGATCCGATCCTTGTGTTGCTTGCGCACCAGAAGAACACATCCTTATGCATGTTAAAGTGCACGAAGCATTGCATGCCAGCTTGAGCTGAAGTATAGGCTCAAACACCGAATTCACGCGTCTCATGGGCCAAAACTTTAGAGCCTCCGGCTCAGTCCGCCGACATTGTCCTCTCCCTTTTCTCCTTCTTCCTCTCTCTCTTTTCTCCTCCCCCCGTGTGTTCCCTCGTCCTCTCTCCCTCTCTGTCTCTCTCCTCCCCATCCTCCCAATCCTCTTGTCTCTGTCTCTCTCTCTCTCTCTCTCTCTCTTTCTTTCTCTCTCCCTCTCTCTCCCTCCTCTCTATATCTCTATCTTTCTCTACCTCCTTGCTATGCCTCATTCTCCCCACCTCGTGTCTTTGCTTCCCGGTCGCTGCCTCTCTCTCTCTTTCCTCTATCTTTCCTCTATCTTTCCTCTCTCTTTCCTCTCTCTTGCCTCTCTTTCCTCTCTCTCTCTCTCTTTCCTTTCCGTCGGTCGCTCTCTCTCTCTCTCTCTCTCTCTCTCTTTCTCTCTCTGTCTCTCTCTCTCTCTCTCTTTGTCTGTCTCTCTGGCTCTTTCTCCGTCTTTATCTGTCTCTTGCTCTGTCTTTCTCGATCTCTGTCTCTTTCTCTGACTCTTTCTCTGTCTCTCCCTCTTTCTCTGTCTCTGTCTTTTTTATTTTCCTTTCTCTCTCTCTCTCTCTTTCTTTCTTTCTTTCTTTCTTTCTTTCTTTCTTTCTTTCTCTCTCTCTCTGTTTGCATTGCAGCGTCATGTCCCCCCTGAGTTGCTTCGACTGCCCCTTCATGACCCTGGCTTTCCCCTGATTTCCCCTTCATGTCCTGTTTTCATGTCTCGTCATTTCCTAGGATGTCCTCGTTATGCCCCCGTCCATTCCTTTCAATTCCCTTTTATGTCCCTGTCATTTTCTCGGTATGTCCGTTTCATTTTCCATATATGGCCTTTTCTTTCATTGCCAGTCATTTCCCTACATCTCCCTTTGCGTCCTCTGGTTTCCTTGTGCTTTGTTTGCCTTTCAGTCCCCCCTCACTCTCCTTGCTTTCATTTCGTTCCCCTTCATATCCCTTTCAGTTGCCCTTTGGTGCCTTTTCATTTCCCCTTGCTTTCCTATCATGTCGACTTCCTGTCCCCTGCATGTCCTTGCATTTTCCTTTATTTCCTTCCCTCACTTCCCTGTATGTCCTTGCATTTTCCCTTCGCTCCCTGGTATTTTTCCGGAAAAACAAACACAACATGTTTTTTCCAACGTTTTCGCAAAAGGATGTAAAAAACAGAGTTTTCCAGAGTTTCAGCAAAAGGAGGCAGACACCCCCGAACCAGCAAAGAGCCGGCAGGGGGATTCGAGCGACCCCTGTCTTGAAACACATCAGACGTCGGGGGTGGGGATTATCCTGTATCCTCTCTTAAGTATCCGACACGCCGAGCAATGTCGGCGGATTTGTCTTGCTTAGAAGGTGAGGTGTTTCGATTTCAGTTTGCGAGGTCCAGGGCCTGATGTTTGGGGATGAGTGAGCCGCTGAGGCCTGGTCTGCAGCTTCATGGCGCAGGACGTGTCGCGCGGCTGCCACGCTCCGCGCTTCGCCCTTTTCGAGGCGGCCCAGGGTCAAAGATGGAGTCGCCGCTCGCCGCCTTCCTCACACCTTCCTACAAACCGGGCTTGACAACACGCCCACTGTGGCCATGCAAGGTGCGAAGACAAAGAACACTGAGTGTCATTGATGCGATAGCCAAGAAGTGCTCCAGTTGACAACTTGGCCGGGCATGTAGCACAATGTACAGCTTGCCACAGCGAGCTGACCACACTTGCCATTCAAGTCAGGTTCGCAGAGGTGGCTGCAGCATCGAGGCGCCCACAGTTGCTGGCTGTAGAGTTAAGGTTGCATCATTTGGTCCTCCCCCAGAACCAACCCAGACAAGTTCAGAAAGAGAACTGAGCTGCTTGAGCTTGCCTGACATGGTCAGCAACACGCTCCTAGCTTTGAATTGCCAGGGTGGCTTGCACGTGCTCATCCGCACGGAGCATCACTCCATCTCAGATGGATGGTCCAACCCATTGATGCTCCAGGAAGCACTGCGTTTCTATGAAGGAGACAGCTCCGGGATACACTCGCACTTAGATTGTTGGTCCATACTTCCACTTGACGGGTGTTGCTGGCTTGTGCAGGAGACTCTCAGGAGACCCTTCTTGTTGCTGCATGTTACATGTTTTGCTCATGGGTGAGGAGGGGATTTCTCCGATGCAGCTCCTCGCTTTGCCTGCTATGTATCACACGTCTTGGCGTCAACAGAGGCTGGATGGCAGTGCTTTACTTCCACACATGCTGATGACTTCCTTTGATGATCTTTTGAGCTTCCAGCTAAACTACGTAGGTCAGACATGCGAGCTTGCACGATGCCTGCCAGGGAGAAAGCCGAGAGACGCTGAGAGGATTTTGGAAGCAGCAACTGGCTGGCTGGACAGGCTGGTTTGTTGTGCATGCTCAAGGGATGCGTTCCCTTGCACGTTCCCTTGCACACATGTACTGTTAGCATCTGTTGGCTCAGCGAAGCCCCACTTTCGGATTGAGATGGGTAGCGTGCCGCTGTTCCGCAAGTCCCATGGAAGTAGCATGTTGGATGACTGGGTCAAGGAAAGCTGTCGTGTTTAATCAGTCTCGACCAGTCAAGGTCAATAATTAGAATCACAGCGCCTTGCAGGCGCTATGCCGCTTGCAGCGCTCAAAGCACCTGCATCACTTGCTCCAGAAGGGCCCGTGAAGGAGATGCGGTCTTCTTGGTGTGTCATTTGCATAGACTTGGGAAGATGAACAGTTCATTGCCAGATGCAGCTTCTGCCACTGCGCTAAATTCTCCTGTGGTTCCCCAGCATGTTCTCAACTCAAGAAGGCAGGTAAACGGCAACTCTGCGAGGGTTGCCCAGAGTTGTTGTTTCTCCCTCTGGCAAGGAGGCCCGCATGGAGTTTCAACAGCTGCGTTCGAGCCTGAAGTGGCCACAGGCCTGGAGTGGTGCAAGCAAGGAAGAAAGGCAGGCTTGTGGAAATGCAGCCGGGACGATCGGGCGAAACCAACATCAGATCTGGCGTTTGCAGGTCTGCTTGACTGTACCCATGCTGTGCCCTGCATGAAGGGTCGATTCGGCTCGTTGAAGAAGCTGGCAATCGTCTGCAACGACTCCAAACAGCTGGATTTGTCCAATGCTGCCACTACTTAATCTTGCTTTCCTCAACCCTTTCATCCAAAGAAGATCGCGATCACGTCATAATTTCCAATTTATCAGCATCAAGAGCAGCAAGGCCAGGCCTCTGCTTTATTTGTCCTCGGCTTAGTGCAGGTGGGCGAACACCAAGTGACCAAAGCAGCGATGCTGCATGCTGCGTGGGCTTTGCTGTTGGCCCGGCTGCCTGGTACACTTGATGATTCTTGAAGCCTGGGATTGGCCGGATGTTGGCCGCAGTTTTCCTAAAGACATCCTTGATGCAAGATCTGAGCGTGCAATTCTCCTTGATGTGCCGGCCAAAATGCGTCCACAGCACGTCCTGCCCAGGCGAGCCGTGGTAGCCGCGACGTGGTCTTTGGTGCCGTGCTCTCGGGGCGTGATGTACCGGTGCCGGGCGTTGAAGGCAGGGGTCTGGCAGTCATTTGCAGCCTTCCAACCTGTTAAATCGAGGCAGGCGATCATTCCTGGTGGCGTCAGTGTCAGACACGGTATGTAATACGTTTTGCAACCCTGTATCCAGGGACCTGGCCATTCAGAGGGATCAGTTGACAACTATTGGCTGTGCAGGCATGGTTGGGCTGCTGATTTGCACGCTGCCTTTGCGTATCCAAATATCTGGAAGCTGCCGAGGCCCGGACAAAGTACTTTGCGAGGATCTTGGAAATAGCCTCAAAACCGCGAAACACATCTGGGTGTGTCTTAAAGTAGGGGGGGCCGAATGGTGGTTTCCTTTTTGGTTTCCCTTTAACCTCTACCAAAAAAGGGACCCCTCAACACAAGACACCACCAACTAAACACCCTGCACCGCTATTCCATTTCATACAGTAGGAAGCAGCGACTGAGACTGAGAACAACGCGTATCTCTTGCTGATGGAACGATTGGCACTGTCCAATGCCAAGTGGTACCTGCTTCCTCAATCTTATCACTGTTTCCTACCACTGTGAGAATCAAGGAGCTGTCTCTTGATGCCCAAAGCTTGAGCGAAGCAGAGCAATCAACTTGAAAAGATGCCCCAAAAGTGTAAGGCATCCTTGAATGCACCTTGAGAGAGTCTAAGTCCGGCAGTGATTCTGCCATTTGTTGTCAACAATGCAATAAGGGTATTGCGAGCCACCTAAATAGTTACTGGTACGCCGGGAAAGATGCGTCGTTCTACTAAACAACCTTCAATGGCCGTTCTATGAGTCTCCAAGCGTCACATATTCTCATGCTTCCTGTCAATCAGGCTTTCTAGGCTGTTCTCTTATATTTGTATTTCCTTTACTTTTTGAGGGGTCCTTTCAGTGTTTCCGTAAGGGGCATCTCTACAGTGGTCCCTCGGCCCCTTTATCGTGTTGAAGCCCAGGGCCTCCCAAGTTCTTTCGGAATTCCTACAGGAGCATCCGTGCCTTGGATTCCTATTCCGAAGCCTTTTCAATCTCAAGAGAAACGTGACGCAACCACTCCAATGCCAATTACAGGGTGTCTTTCATGGTCTCCAAAAGAGGGTCCTTAGAACATAAAGGCTTTCAACAAAAGCACGCGAGGTGATTCTCTTTTTGGAGCCCTCGCTGAAAACCTTCCAACACCCAGGGTGGTTCTAAGGATTTTGGCATGGCTAGGCTCATGGCGCTGTCGGTCTTCCTTTGGATGCCAAGACTTGTCGCGTCTGGCTTGCTGCCGTCAACCATGCGCATGTCGTCAGAGCCTGCCGGCAACAGCCCTTGCCCATGTGCCGATTTGTCACTTTGCAAGACACCCACAGTCCAGCATGAACGGGAATTCTTTGGATTCGGTGGCTCCACATGGAGAACGCTCGACTGGACGCATGTGACTACGGTTGCTTGGGCCGACGATGTGGAGATGGTGTGTAAGGCGCACGAAGCTGGAGCACGGCGCATAGCAGCCGCACCTGGCTACGTGTTTTCTCCAGACCCAGAAGTGCGCAGGGCTTGGATCGACAATCTCATCGAAATCATGAAGACACAATTTTTTGACGGCGTCACCTTCGATTACGAAGACCCCCTAGATCAAACGCCTGGATCTCCCACCTTTGACAATATGACTTACTATGTGGCTCTGATCAATGAGACTACCAGAGCCCTGCACGCTGCAATCCCCGGCTCCCAAACATCAGTTTGTGTTGCATGGTCTCCAGATGACATCGACGGCCGAAATTACGATTTTGCATCCTTGGCTGCTGCTAGCGACTTGATGTATGTCATGCTCTACGACACGCAGTCCCAGATCTTTGGCAGATGCATTGCCTCGGCCAACTCACCTTTGGGCTTGGCCCAGCGTGGGATTCAGAGATATTTGCAACTTGGCATCCCTGCCGAGAAGCTCATCATGGGGACGCCCTGGTACGGCTACATGTATCCCTGCCTGAATGCCGGCCCCGAGGCCGAAACCTGCAATCTCAAGTTGGTGCCTTTCCGCGGAGTGAAGTGCAGTGATGCTGCTGGGTCAGAAGTTGGCTTCATGCACATCATGAACCTTCTTGACCGAGGAGTGTGCCCTCCGGGCGTCAAGGGTACATGCAAGGTCTCCAGAGCCATCTCTTGGGACAATTCCACCTCCTCGCCGTACTTCAACTTCGTGGCAGGATCTCAGTCGTACCAGGTTTGGTTCGACAACGCAGCATCTTCGGCATTGAAATATTCAGCCGCAGCTAAGCTTGGCATCCGCGGGGTTGGCCCTTACACCTGGAGCGACCTGGACAGTGATGGCACAGTTACTGGCAACCCTGCAGCTCCTGCAGAAGCAAGGTCCATGTGGGACGCCTTGGGCGCGTTCCAGCCGCCACAGAGCGCAATGCTAATTTAGCAGCATATTCCGAGTTATGACAAACGCTTTTGAGCATGGCAGACGAAAAAAGGCTAGACACAATACACAATTTTCACCTCGGGCTTGGTTTGCGCACCGCACTCCAGATTTGGCACTCCAAGTGCAGAAGTCCCTTGCTGAGCTCTCGGCACACCAGCGTCTCGGCAAGCGCCGGGTGAGGGCTGCTTCGCCATGCACAGGGCGCAGGCATCGTGGGAACTGTGCCCTTGCAAACTGCCTCATGCTCGATAGAGGTCACAGATATTCAAACTCTTGTGCCCTTTTAACATCCTTATCTTAAGTGCACGATGCGTTTGTTGCAGTAGCTGAGGTTTTGCAACCTGGCCGGATGCCCAGACATAGCGTGACGGCAGGAGCCCGCAGACGCACACTCGTATCACGACTTGTATCTTTTGAGACAGAGGAGACCAATGGCAAACAGTGAGATCTCTGTCCGCTTCAGTCCGCGCTAGGCCGAAATCAGGGAATGGTGTGGCCTTCGCGGCCCTGCAAAGGCCACCCACGTCGCATGAGTTTTGCTCAGTGCGGGACTTGCATTCCAGTCCAATCACACATGAGTTTCCGGCAGGAGCTCTTCCAAACCATGCTGGTGTTCGAGAATTACCCAGATGATGCGCAAACTTCCTTGGCGCAGGCTGGACTTGGCGTTTCTTCATGATCTCGTGCACCCTGCAATAGCTTCGAAATGCTTCGTCTCGCATCCCTCAGGCACTGCACGGCGAAGTCCCAGTGACCGGGGCTTCATTGCCACTGGCAGTGGTGGTTGTGCCACAAGGCCAGCCATACTTTTTTCAATTGTTCCGGCATGGCGTGATTCTGGCGCAGGTTGCCAGCTGCAAGTCACTTTTCGATTTGACTCATCGCTCTACAGCTGTGCGGAAGTGCAGAGGCTTGACTGCACAGACTACAAATAGATTGTCATCCTGCTTTCTGATTGACTTAAGCGGGGAAGGGCAAGGGTATCCTGTGTGTTTGACACCCGTGCCCACAGAACACTGGGTCTGAGGAGTATGCTCCGGGACTTCGGCATCATCCTGGAGAGTATGCTGGAGTGGTTGCAGCCTCAACCATTTTCGGCTCGTAATGATATGTACATTTATGAGAGCAACCGCTTTGCCTTCACAATATTCACCTGTCCGTTATGGCACTTGCGTAGTCATGATGCACGTTTGTGACACTGACCTGCAAGCACCACTCCTGTTTGTGAAAGCCCCCCTCCTGTTTGTGTTTTTTTTTGGCACACATATACCTGTCTTTTTACGCTTAGGCCAAGCTGCTCTTGCGAGGAGCTGCTCCCTGTACTGCCAATGCTTCACGCAGGCCTTGAGTTGACAGGTGGACACAGATGGAGAACACGTCGGCATGCTCCACGAAATGCTCCCAAGTGCCTTTTTGCAAGCACCTCTTGAGCGAATAGATTTCAGGAGGGGTGTAGGTTCTTGTCAGATCTGAGCCTTGCGCAGCATGTGTGTTTTCCTTTTCAGGTGCTTCAGGGTTGGAATCAAATGAAGCCATTGCTTCACATGCCCCGACTTGGCTCAAGAGGGAGCTTGGGGGAGTGCAACCACGTTGTCATCTAAGACCCACGCATATTTGGGGCTGTCAGCCTCCGCAAAGAAGTCATGCGTCTTCACTTTCTGACCCCCACTTGCGTGAGCGTTGGGACTCATACTGTAGACATCAAGCAAAGACGCTGTTTGTTTCTGTTGCTGGTGCCAACAGAAGCCATGGCTGGGGATGAGGCCATGGACGAGCCTCTCAAGGCTTCTGAAGATGCCTCGGAAATGGGGCCGGAGGTTGCAGAAGCAAAGGAAGCTGCAGGCCAGGTGCCGTCTATTCAGTACGTCTTCGCTCATCAAGCAAACTGACAGACCAGTGCCAAAC